TAACTCTTTAAGGAGAATAAGAAGTAAATACAAATGACAAAAGCAAATCAAGAGTTGGACCTTGAACTCAGCTCAGCATTCATGCAGTATAGAAGAGCATCTTGCCACCTGAAAAGTCAATGACCCGGTATCAATTAAAGCACCCGTTAGTGTCCTTGAAAGAAGTGTGACTTGGGCCTAGTAGAAAGAGGAATCAAAGGATGCAGTTGCTAAAAGGGAAAAGTAGAAACGTTTTTAACCACATTGAAATGCCCATTGTTTCTTATATAATATTAAGATTGCCATCTGTGCCTACTGCATTAACATATCATTTTTAGTGCTGTGGGGACAGTGTAGGATTCCTTTAAATAATTTTGAAGGAAAAACACTCTAAAATACTAAATAAAGAGGAAAAGCTATGAAATGTTGCATACCATAAAAGTTTTTTTATAATTTATTTTTTTAGCTTTTATTTATTTATTTATTTATTTTTTGGTCTTTTTGAGACAGGGTCTCCCGGTAGCCCCAGCTGTCCTGGAACTCACTATGTAGACCAGGCTGGCCTTGAACTTGCACAGATCCATCTGCCTCTGCCTCCAGAGTGCTGGGATTAAAGGCGTGTGCCACCACACCCAAGAGTAGTTCATGCAGAACAGCTCAAATAGTCTTAATCATCTTTATACCCCTGTCCCCACTGGCAACCTGCCATACCCCACCCACAGGAGCCCATATATTCAGTCATCCTTGTTAAGGCCCATTGTGTTGTCAGTGCCCCCAGCCATTCCCCAGTTTGTCTGTCCACTGAGTCTAGTCAGCCTACCTGGAGTCCCTTGTTTCAGGAAGACCAGCTCTTCATCTAGCAGCAATCATTTGCCAACATTCCTTCAGATAAGACTGACATCTGCTGTTGATTTTCCCAGTTCTATGCTGGGTTGTAGTCTGCCTGAGTTTGCATGGGACTTGCAAGTCACCACTCATCAAAGAAGCTGATTTTGCAGCAAAAAAGTTTTTACAGTTTTGAAAGGTACATTTTGAATTTAGTTTGAATAATTACACAGCTTAAACTAAGAATAAAAGACATTTGTAGCATGCACATTATCTATTATATTTAAAATGTTTATACAGAGGAGAATAAAATATGATATTTGGAAAATTTCTTCTTATTCAGAATTTTCCAGCATTGTTGAGTGCTAGTTCCCTAAGTATATCTTGTTATTAATAACAACAAAAATGATCTTTATACTATGGGCACCTATGAAGATAAATATCATCTTGATTTGGAAGCCACAAGTGTGGAAAGACACACTAATTTAATGTTGAAAGTAAAGTCCAAATAGCTTATCGAGCTTTTCTAATACTCTTGATTTTTACCACCTGTCAAGTCTAAGAGAGAAGTACAATTTGTTTCAACTTTGGGTAAATTAATAGAGAAGAGAGGAAAAGGGTTGACACACAACTAGAATCTCAGTACTCAGAAGACTGAGGTAGAATGAGTTTTAAAAGTTCCATGCCATTCTAGGTTACAGTGAGACTGTATCTCAAATAAGCAAGCAAACAGAGAAAGAAAAGAATAAGAAATTGAAAATCTGGACCTTAATATAAATGATCATTTTATTAAAATATTAAGAAGAAAATCTCTGTGCCCATGCTTGTGTGTGAGATGTGTGCACGAGAAATCAGAAGGAAGACTGCAAATGCCACACTAATAGACTTGGACCACACAACTCGTCATTAAATGTGACTACATGGCTTACAATTCTATTCACTTCAGAATGAACAGAATGCTGCTTAAGGATAGGATTTCCTTTTTACATGTTTTAAGGTGCCAGACTTGCTATTCACTATTCTGCACATGCAGTTTATTTAGTCTGTGATGACCACTGGTTATTTATTAACAGAATCATTAGGTTAAATTCAAAAATGCATATTAGATGTTTCAAATTATTTATATCAAAAAGATATAAATAATCTTATTTATATCAAAAAGAACTATTTGTTTGGCTATGAAATGGAAAGAAGGAACATTATAGAAATAAATGAATGCCTAACAGTTCTTGCCATGGATGCAAGTGGAAATTAAATGATAATTAATGCTTTAAGGGGGCTTTTAGGGATAAAGTAGTGCCATAAAATTACAAAAGCTAAATAAATAATGCACATCTTCAGGGAGGATTTCAGATTATAACTAATATTCTGAGATTATTATGGTGATACAGTCCTTTAGATAGATTCAGTATGATGTTTAGATTCAAACACAAGTTAAATACAGCAAATATATAAACATTTGAAGACTTGGTAGTGATTAGTTCCCTAAAAAAAATGTCATCCATAGTTTGCAATAAAAATAGCTCATGTTGGAAAGGCCAAACCAGAATAAATTTCATGATATGATTATGTTGAATATTTTGCTCTAAATAAACATAAATGTCATAGGTAGTTTCAGCTGTCAACATGACAAAAAACTAGAGTCACATGGGAACAGGACATCTCAACTGAAAAATTTCTTAGGTCAGACTGGCCCTGTGGTCATGTCTATGAGGTGTTTTGTCTTCCTTTATTCTTCCTTTTTTTCTTTCTTTTCTTTCTTTCTTTCTTTCTTTCTTTCTTTCTTTCTTTCTTTCTTTCTTTCTTTCTTTCTTTCTTTCTCTCTTTCTTTCTTTCTTTCTTTCTTTTTCTTTTCTGAGACAGAGTTTCCCTGTAGCCCCAGCTGGCATGGAACTTGCTATATAGACCAGGCTGGCCTCAATCTCACAGAGATCAGCCAACCTCTGCCTCTAGAGTACTGAGATTAGAACTGTGTGCCACCATACCCAGCAAGGCAATTTCTGAATTGCTAATTGCTGTAGGATGACCCAGTCCATGCTGGGCAGTGCCATCCCTAGGCAAGTGAGGACATATAAGAAACATAGCTGAGGAACCAGGGGGAGCAATCTAGAAAGCAGCCTTCCTCCTTCGTCTCTGCTTCAGTTTCTGCTCCTAGGTTCCTTCCTTGAGCTCTTGCTCTGGCTTCCCCTGATTACAAACTGTATGTTATAAGATGAAATAAGCCCTTTCCTCCATGGCGTTTATTATAGCAGCAAGAAACAAACTAGAAAAACAACATGCATTTTACTTTTCATATCAACAGTTACAAAAGACAAAGGCTAGTATATGCTTGGACATGTGCCTGGTACTGTATGAGAACATTTATTTATTCTTCTGTAATATTTATAATAATTCCATAAATAAAATGTTAAATTCTGGATCTTCAATGTCCTCAGGAATAAAATGAATTTAAATCAGCTGTGAAGCAGACAAAATTATGTCCCTGAACTTTACTTATTACAAACACCATTCATATTTGTTACTTTGTAAGAAATTATATTATGTTCATGGTCAGGGTAGAAAGGATACAGAAACCATTAAGGCCAGATTCATTCTGTACTTAAATGCTTTGAAGAGTTTTGTTGTATGGATAGAACACAAAATGGCAATTCCTTGTCCTAGAGACCTGTGTTACACTGATTTTAAGACCAGCCAGTTCTGATTTCCAACCAGGTGTGGTACACATTCTTTTAATCCCAGCACTTTTGAGGCAGAGGCAAGCTCATCCGTTTTTGATCAAGGCCAGCCTGGTCTACTTCAAAGAGAGTCTTTATATTCTATGAAAACTAGAGAGGTACAGGCTTCTTCTATGAGAAAAGAGTGAATCAACTCATTAGAAATAAAACAGCAAAATAAAGGAGGCAAAAAATGAGAGGAGTTTAGCATTCTGTACCATTACTGATTTAGGAGCAATTCCATTAGGGTTCATTGGCTACTCTGCATTCCAATTTGAATGTTAGAGCATGCCATCCTAGTTAACTGATTTCAGATCTTGAGAGAGAGCTGATAAGATCACACAACAGTAAATCTGTAGCATGGCTTTGAAGTCACTTTTATATATAACAAAATAATGAGGATTTGAAAGTTTTAGATGTTTCTACTTGATCAATTGTCAAAAAGAGAGATTTGTTATTATCAAATGCAAGAGTGTTTGTTCATACTCAAAACAAAAACATGTATCCCTCCTCACTTGCTTATAAATATTCAGTGCCACAGAAACACAAATAAATAATTACCCTTCTCCAATGCATTCTGTATCTGTATAATTTACAACAAACCAAAGATTATCATATGACACAGAGTCAAAGGGTACTGTATTTATTATAAGTGAAAAAAAAACTATAAATGTTGCCTAACCCTACAGTGTATTTAAGAATCAACCTGATATTTTGTGTGTGTGTGTTCATATACATCCATACATGTATTTTTTAAAACATTAAAGTCTTTAGTAGTTAGGATTGCATATACAGTCCTCTACTATGGGAATTGACCTAGAAACATTAGAAGATTATTATCCATTTACAGAAAACAGCTATGAAAATGACAATAATAAAAAAACTTTAGGTGCTGATCTTATTTAAAAAATCCTAAGGTTGATTTTAGTGAAGCATACAATTTAAAAACTATAATATTCTTTATCTGAAATTTTATATCTCTTATAAATCTTAAGACCTTTTTTTTTCAGCGAGAGATTTGGTTCTGGCCTTGTGCTGCTCTTTTAGCACTCAGTCTTATGTATATATGCATAGAAAAATGAGCAATAGCTAAAAATGGGTTCTTCTCTATCCCTGATAAACATATAAATCTTGTAAACAGCAATTTTTTGTTTTTGTATTATGGATTTTATCAACAAAAAAAAGCTTGTTTCATCAAGGAAATCTCTTTTAGTTTTTCTTTTTTCCCACTTAGTGGTCTTTTTCAAGTTAAACCCCTGAAAATAAAAGGTATTTGGGATAATAATGTATGATTTTTTAAGTAGTTAAGTATTTACCATTTTTTCTTACTGAGTTGATGTCAGACTCCATAACCACCATGGTAAAAACATGTTTAAAAAAGTCCTAATGAAGGGAAATGGAAACAGACATAGAGAGGGAACGTTAAGTTGCACGTTAAAATGGACTGCCCTCAATTCTGACGCTATTTTTTCCTTCCCATAGGGAACCACAGTCAGATATCCCGAGTGCCTGTTGCTATTAAAGTGCTGGATGTCAATGACAACGCCCCTGAGTTCGCATCCGAATATGAGGCATTTTTATGTGAAAATGGAAAACCCGGCCAAGTAAATATCTCCATGTTGTTAATGCTGAATATGTTTGTATACAATTGTCTCATATTTAATTAACCTGCATTATAGTGTGCATTTGCATCATTTATGATCTTCAAAATCACAGGCATGAAACTCATCCAAATGGGAACACAAGGGAATATTTTTCTTTCTCAGCTGTTAATTATCTTCCTATTTATGACCAAATTAGCTCATAAAAGTGGAATGATCTGCTGTACCTTGAACCCAAAGCCAAATCGTTGTCTTAAAATACATTGTGACATGAATTATGGCTGAGGATTGTCTTAGGGTACAGAAACTTGAATTTTAACCTTCAAAGGACAGGAAGCAAGTGAACAGCTCTGGGGAAACAGAATGTATTATCCTATACAAAAATAGGAAGTACTCCTAACAGTGGCCATGAGGATCAGTAAATTATAGGAAGTTGTAGCAAGTGAGCACTGAAATCTGTGCAAATGTACATATATTTAGATAAGCATAAGTTGGACAGCATGTTTTGGACATTAGCATAAAGTTTGTAATAATTATGTAGTGATATGATTCATGTAGCCTAGATAGGAAAGGAGAGAACAGGAAAGAAAGAAAAAACAAAGCATAAAGATAAAAAGTGTAAAGACATAATAACGGTGAAGAAAGAAGGAAAGAAGGGGACCAGGTGGTAAGAGGAGAGGGCTGGAAGACAGAGGAAGGGAGGGACTGAGGGAGGTGTATGGGGAGGGAAGAGGGGGAAGGAAATGAGGGAGAGTTCAAAAAGTTAAGAACAAAAAGAAAACCTTGAAAAGACTATACTCTGAATGTCAAAATGAACTAGCCTATGTAAAGTTCTACAAAATCATAAATGTAATAGATTTATTTTCATGAGGTGCAAAAGTACTGTATGTTTAAGAAATTTATCATTTTTCAACTTCCTAATTTATTTCTGGATGGTGACATTTTAATTTAAATAAACAGCAGCTGACAGCATATGACACTGGAGTTGTTAATGCAACTATTCTTGTGCCTCACGTGGGTGTAAGGAATTAAACTTACTATTTGCCAAGAACTTACCTGACAAGAGTCAGATTTTTTTTACCCAAAGGAAGGAATAACACTGCAGCTCTATTCTATTACTGAACATTACAAAAGACGAACAGGTTACCTATCTTTACAACAGTGGGCAAATTCCTCTAGACTTCCCATAGCTGAAGGCTTAGCTTTTTTGACACCTACCAAATAAGAAACACACCCCATATACATCATAGCTAAAATTCTAATAATATGGTTTAGTATTCAAATTCCTAGGCATTGCGTTCCTACCAAAACACTCAGTGTTAGCAGCTCTTATTTTCATACACACAAAAATTTCATATTAAATAACTAGTCATTTCATTATAATTAGCATATATATGTATATACACATCATACCTTTCAACCATCTTCATTTACGATTCTTATGGGTAAAATAAGCCATGTATGTGTGTGTGTGTGTGTGTGTGTGTGTGTGTATGTCTCTGTGTGTGTGTGTGTGTGCACGCCAATACCAAAATACAGCAATATCATTTAAACAGGCTGGTGGACTTGGTAGACAGAGAGAGTTTGATCAAAATATAGCATGCCTACTTCAAGGATATGGTTGTTACATGGACCAGAAAATTGCTGGGATAATACAGGAAATCACAGATATATTCTGGATGGTTTTTATAACTTAGAAACACACTAGAATTTAAATAAAACTCCATTGCTCCTGCAGAACTCATCACACCATTTCAGAGAGTCAATGGCATTGACATTTCACACACTGGATATCGGGCTTCTCTAGTGATATTGACAAGTGTGCTGCCTGGATCTCTAGGAATCTGGAGTTTTACCCTGTGGACTTTGACTGTTTGGAAGGTTTTAATGATTTTTTTCAGCAATTCTTCTTATCTCTAGAAAAATGCATTGTTTTCTCACCTATTCTATGCAAGATCAAAATAAAAAGTTGATTCTTTGTTTTATGAGTTTTGCAAGTTGCAGTTAATGCTTTACTCCATGAACAAATGGTCCCCTAATGGTGTGTTTTCAGCATGGTTAGTAGACTTAAATTTCTATGAAGGGGTCTATCTTGGTTTTTCATTGCTATAGGGGGACGTATACTGACTAGATGAGGCATATACTATTATTGAAACAACTTTTCTGAACTCTTTGAACCCAATAAGATAGAATTTATGATGAGTTCTTTATATAATTCTTAGATCCTTATTAATGATCACATATTTATTATACTTAATGTTTTCCCATATTTATATTTATTTTCAATACTATAACGGACGCACTTACAAGCTTGAAGCACACATATTTCTTTTTCTTCTTTATTTTTTTCAAAATTTATTTATTTGTTTTCTGATGTGTATGCATCTTTGCCTGCATGTATATCAGTGGACCTTTGTCTTTCAGTGTCCACAGAGGCCAGAAAAAGTTTTGGATTCCTTAGAACTGGAGTTATGGATAGTTGTCAGCACCATGTGGGTGCTGGGAAGTACACCGAGGTCTTTTACAAGAGCAGCCAATGCTCTTTACTGCCGAGCCATCTCTCCAGCCCCTTTTATTATTTAGACAATGCCTCAGTAAGAAGCATGGGCTGGCCTTGAACTCAGAGTGTTGCCCATGCTGGCTTCCATCTCTTCCCCCTTTCTCCTCCAGCCTCCCCAGTGCCTGGATTACATGCACTCACTACTATCCTCAGCTAAAATATATTTTTAGTAATCTCACAGTATCACAGACATTTTTAATGCACTTTGGAATTACAATATTCATTTAATGACACTATCATGAAAAATAAGCATAAGAACTGAAGTATCACTAAATTGATAGTTATCTTAGTATTTTCAATAGTTAATGAAGGACTGGAATGGTATTCAAGTGTCGTGTTTGCCTGGAATGCGTGTATTCAGGATAAACTCACAGAGAAGATCTTTCAGAGGTGCTTCATCTTAAAGTCTCTAGCAATAATCCAGAGATAACCCTTAAGACACCCCAGACTGCAGTGTATATGTAAAGTGTTTTTTAAATATATCACAAAGCAAAGTCTAGTATCGACACAAACACAGAGAATCTAATACCAACTGCTCCTTTCAACAGAATCTGGTTCATTCAAACACAACCAGTATCTGAAAAAATGGAAAAGAGAGAGGCTCCCTTGTCTATTATGGGGATTCTGGGTAATCCCCTCCTATTCGTGATAAATCTGGCATAACTATGCTTTGTAAGTAGAATAGTAAGTCACACCTGTTTCTATGCCCTTCTAAGTCCTGTAGCAAAAAATGGTGTTCCCTCAAGACTGTACCAATCATTGTCATAGAAAGGTAGAGGTCACAGTCCAAGACACAAAATCAACCCAAATACCCTTTCATTAGAATCCTTTTAAATGATTCTGTAATTAAACATTAATGCGGTAGTTTTGCATTGCTATTCACTTCTGTTTGAACAAAATATCTAATAGGAATAGGTAAGTTATCTTAAGTTGCATAATATCAGGAGGTATATATCTAAGTCAGTCTAAGTGTAATATGTTCACGTACCAATTACTTGGCTCTCAGTATAAATGGATAAAAAGGCACACTTCATTTAAACCTTCCTAATGCCTCAGGCTAAAATGGGAAAATGTGTTGCATTTTTTGAAAATATATGCCTGGTAGTTCGAACTGATTGAGTGAATGTTTACTGTCAGTAGATGGTCAGAGCACCAGCTATTTTTCAGGGCTTGGCTAATCATGAGAAATACAGTAACATACAGCACATATAAACCAGACTTCTGTCATCATAGAATTTTTTCTGGTACTTGTGTATTTAATTTAGGAATGAGAGATTTCAAGAAATTATTTCAAATCCTCTGGACAGAAATGACACTGAAAGGATGTGGGGAGATGATGCTGTCTCACAGAAGTCTTCAAATGTAGAAAACTTCCAAAGGAGGAGAAATCATCAATGTAAAAAGGAGACAGCTGGTAAACCAGATTCTATCTGAAGACAATGGGGATCTGGCTGGAGTGGTAGAGGAACAGGAAACAAATGTGCAGACATTGTGTCTTCCTTCAGTATGCTTGACAAGGGCGCATTAAAACCCAGACACGGATAAGCAATGTAGACTAGTGACCAGAGCTGACTAGAAACTTCCCGAAATCTGTTCTCATTGTACTTTTTAAAGAGGATATTGTTGAGATTTTGTTTCAGATACTGCTCTCTCTCTCTCTCTCTCTCTCTCTCTCTCTCTTTGGTATACACAAATCTGCAGCAACTTGTTCCCAGTGGTTCCACACCCCAGGACTAAAATATTACTCATTTTATATGTGAGTCAGCATCCCCTCTATTTGGAAGTTACTTAACTAGCAGACAGCTTGAGATTTTTAGTCCTTCATGAAACAATGTTTCCTCCATGTATGAAGGAATCTAATAGGCTATAATTTGAATTTCATCACATCTATGCTAAGAACTGCTGTATAGTGTCCAGCGTTCTGTCTGAGTTACAATAGAAACAAAACAAAATGAAAACAAATTGGTTCACCTTTATGAATCTCATCTTTTTACCTTGGACCAAAATTGTAGCAATGTAACCTTTATTATAGACTGTAGCAGCTCACTAAAATATGGCTACCTATACCTCGGCATGATCTAGAGCATACTCTGAATATAAAGGGTAGTACACAACTTTGTAATTATGTTTTAATACCTTTCATTTAGCATTGAAAGTATTTCAAAAGTAAATTTCCAAAACATTACCATGGAAACACTTGCTTTACTCTCAGACACACTAACCTCTTTGGATAAAACTTTGCTCATTTATTTATTGAACAATATTTACTATGCACTATGAGATTCTATCATCTAGGACAACAATATGAAAGGGTAAGATGTCTTCTCACAAAGCTTAATGAGGAAGGTATTATAACCAGGGCAGAGCGAATACTTGATGTAATTCAAAAATTTGAAAGTTGGGTGAAAGCAAACTAAGCAGACGTCAGAGGACAAAGAAAGGG